AATTGTGTATATGATACACACTAGACCCCCCTAACTCTATTACCCCACATGCTACAGTGGGCACGGATTGGACCTCTAACCATACATCATATATTAAATATAAATGAAAAAAAACCCATATGTATATATATCTGCGTGGCAAACGAGAGACAAAACCAACTGATGGTATCCCTCCCTGTTCATCACGCAAATACATACATCATGAATATTAAACCAGAAACCCTATATAATTAACGTACAGAACATTACCACACACTACACATCACTAATAAAGCATGATAAATCGAATTCTTTATTTAATCCACCTGGTGCTAAACTCCCAACTCATAGATCCAGAAAGACTCTTTTTTACTAATTTCTCGCACCAAGTTATCTCCCCTCCAATGTGGATTATGTTTGGTAATACCCCAAAAAAATTCTACTTTCTCCGGATCTTGGTTATGGTGCATTTTAAAGTGCACTGATAAGTGATGATATTTATAACCTATACTAATATTGTGTATGTGTTCTTTAACACGTTGTTTGAGACATCTTTTTGTGCGTCCTATGTATAAAAAATAATTACATGGACATTTCAGGGCGTATACTACACCCTTACTCTCACATGTGATGAATTGATCGATATCATATTGTTTTCCCATTTTTGGGGTTAGTAAATGATTGTCTACGTTTAGGATTTGCATGCGTTCTTTTACAACTTTATAGCATCGACCGCATCTATAAAACCCTATCTCATTAAAGAAACTTAGGGTACTTTTTGATTTCCGGGGGGGTTCCAATACGTTTTTAACGTATTGGAACCCCCCCGAAATCAAAAAGTACCCTAAGTTTCTTTAATGAGATAGGGTTTTATAGATGCGGTCGATGCTATAGTTGTAAAAGAACGCATGCAAATCCTAAACGTAGACAATCATTTACTAACCCCAAAAATGGGAAACAATATGATATCGATCAATTCATCACATGTGAGAGTAAGGGTGTAGTATACGCCCTGAAATGTCCATGTAATTATTTATACATAGGACGCACAAAAAGATGTCTCAAACAACGTGTTAAAGAACACATACACAATATTAGTATAGGTTATAAAATATCATCACTTATCAGTGCACTTTAAAATGCACCATAACCAAGATCCGGAGAAAGTAGAATTTTGGGGTATTACCAAACATAATCCACATTGGAGGGGAGATAACTTGGTGCGAGAAATTAGTAAAAAAGAGTCTTTCTGGATCTATGAGTTGGGGAGTTTAGCACCAGGTGGATTAAATAAAGAATTCGATTTATCATGCTTTATTAGTGATGTGTAGTGTGTGGTAATGTTCTGTACGTTAATTATATAGGGTTTCTGGTTTAATATTCATGATGTATGTATTTGCGTGATGAACAGGGAGGGATACCATCAGTTGGTTTTGTCTCTCGTTTGCCACGCAGATATATATATGATACATATGGGTTTTTCTCATTTATATTTAATATATGATGTATGGTTAGAGGTCCAATCCGTGCCCACTGTAGCATGTGGGGTAATAGAGTTAGGGGGGTCTAGTGTGTATCATATACACAATTTATTTTAATATGTAACTTTCATTCATTCTCCATTCATGTTTTTGAATGGTAGATTCTAGATATGTTATATGGGTGATATATATATAGAGTATTTGTTATAAAAGTACTCATATTGTTTCCCCATTTTTATTTTTTATTATTTATGTTTATATAGTATTCTGTGAATATATTTTTATTGAAATAAATATTTTGTACATGCATTAGAATTGTATATACATGGCTGTGTGTGTTATCACATACCTCCATGTGGATTTATATATTTGATATCTTGAGGTGTTGGAATGCTACACTGTTGTACATTAATGTTGGATTTGCGTACCGCCAAGCCGTATAGTCATGTCACAGGCTCTCTCTCCGGGTAGACATAGCAGTAAAGATACATATGTAAGAATTGGCAACAATATCGCTGTACAAAGTGCCCCCAAAAAACATGGCCGCCCCCGTTGAATAGTCAACAAAATGGCGCGGCCGGGCTATTTAATCCGGCAATGGAAGAGTGACTAACCTATCACAACCCCCTGATGAAGCCACGTGACCAGTGGCGTAACGCGTAGGGGTGGGGCTGCGGTGTCACTCGGAGAGAGCTGGAGTATCGGACAGACGGCGGGTGCATGGCAGGACGGCTGGCGGATCATTAGAGCTGAGCAATTCATCCTAGACCGCATATCACATATGTGAGTGTACCTGTTGGCAAGCAATAAAGGAGAAACCTTTTTATAAGGATAAAACACCATGTCTGGCAATTTGTTCCCACATATGGAAAAACGCACATGGGCAATCTGAGGATAACGCATATCCACGTTCTTACCATTCACAAAAGAGGAATTCCATCTAAGCAGGTTCCATAGGAGGTGAACCACAAGTGTGTATAGCCTAATTGCAGGCTAACAAGGAGGTGAGCATACATCTTTACCAATTGAGGATTCAAAGAAAGTCACAAATTCACAAAAAGTCACCAAATCAAGATTTATTCAAGCACAAAGTCACTGCATTTAAAGGACATTTATATCACAATTATTTGGCAGTATATATATAATTTTTTAAGTAATTCACTATTCATGATGTGTATTTTTTTCTGTTATATATTTTAGTTCACTATGCACTATTTATTGGTTTTGCGGTTATTATTATCTGATTTATATTATAGTGGTTTATATTTTTTCAAATCACTCACATAGTTTGGTTTTGTATATTTTTTAATACCTGAAAATTATTTGTATAGTAAAAGGTTAATTAGATATATACATCAAAGATATTGTCACTGGGAGCGCAACACATTATATATTTATGATTATTTTACATTGACTGCATAGACACCTAGGTATATATCAGTGTTAAAACTGTTTGCATAAGGACACCTGCATGTAGCTCTGTTTATTTGACCCTCAGTGTTCATATGTACAGGATAATTTTGTTTAACCACTTTCCGTCTGCCCTATAGCAGTATTACTGCTAAAGGGCGGCACGGGTGCGCAAAATCATGTGTATATATACGTGATTCATGCTCCTGTGGTGATCACGGGCCGGGGGGCGCACCCGGGTGACATGATTCGGTCCCCAAGGGATCAGTCATCCGATTTAGGCCAGTGATTAGGCATCGCCTATGGATATTAAAAATGTATGCAGTCTGTCGCCATTGCCAATATATTGTGGTTTTTGGCATTAAAAGTAAAAAACAGTGTTTTTTTTTTTTTAAAAATGTGTGTTTTAAAAATCACTGCACGAGTACTATGTGATATATAATATAAATTACAGCACCCACCAATTTTATTCAGTAGGATGTCTGCTTTAAAAAAAAAAAATAATGTTTGGAGGTTCAAAGTAATTTCCTAGCAAAAAATACAGATTTTTTCCATGTGAAACAAAAAGTGTCAGAAAAGGCTTGGTCTTAAGGTTGTTAGAAGAGTGAGTGATGTGTGGCATACACTTCTAATGCTGTGCATAAAATGCCCCCCCCAACCCCAAATGAAAAATGACCCCTTTTTGGAAAGTAGATAGCCCAAACTGTTTGCTGAGAGTCAATAGGATAATTTATTGCTTTACCAGAAGTTTTTAGAAAATGACAAAAAAAAAAGTTGTTTGTTATTTACACAAAATTTAGACCCTAAGACATTTGGCTGTACTAAAATAGTAGTATGGGCTTATGCCTTGTTTCTTGCAGCTCAGTTGTAAGAAGTGCTCATTATCCTTTAAAAGTTAGCAATGCAATTGCAAGCGTAAACAACTTTTAAATAAGTGTCATAGCCTAAAATCAAGAGTAAAACCTTTGCTACTAAAAGTTCACCCAAAACAAAAAAACAGGCAAATGTAAAAAGATACTTAAGCTGTACATTGTGTATTTCAATTGATGTTGTGTCCTTTGATAGTTTAATCAGTTATACAAAACAAATACAGAATGTTGAAAACACTTTTACAATTACAGAAATGTTGTTTTGTCAGCTTGTACTTTTGCAGAATTTTAAAATCCACTCACATATTCTATCTTCTAGAGCAGCGGTTCTCAACCTGGGGGTCGCGACCCCTTTGGGGGTCGAACGACGCTTCCACAGGGGTCGCCTAAGACCATCGGAAAACACATATTTCCGATGGTCTTAGGAACCGAGACACCGCTCCTCGCCGCCGCCGCCGCCGTCTCCAGGTGTGGGCGGGATGACATGCCGCCCCTGTCATCTGGACACACCTCGAGATCAATCCTCGCCTGTGATTGGCCGCCGGCACTGTAGCTCAGGAGAGGCACACAGGCGGCCAATCACCGGCAAGGAGGTGGAGCTTGGAGAGGAGGAGCCGAGCGGCACCGCGAAGATCGAGCGAGTGAAGAGGAGGAGAGCGGCCGGAGAAGGAAGACATCTGACAGGTAAGTGTCGGGTACCACCATGGGAGAGGGAGGGAGCCAGCGAGCCCAGGCTGGAGCAGGGGTCTGCAAGGTAAGTATCATTGGTGTCAGTGGGAATAGTGCCCCATCATTGGTGTCACTAATACCAATGATGGGGCACTATTCCTCCCACTGACACCAACGATGGGACACTATTCCTCCCCAAATGACACCAACGATGGGGCACTATTCCTCCCCCACTGACACCAAGGATTGGGCACGATTCCTCCCCCCACTGACACCAACGATGGGGCACAATTCCTCCCCCCACTGACACCAAGGATGGGGCACTATTTCTCCCCCCACTGACACCAAGGATGGGGCACTATTCCTCCCCCCACTGACACCAAGGATGGGGCACTATTCCTCCCCCCACTGACACCAAGGATGGGGCACTATTCCTCCCCCCTGACACCTATGATGGGGCACTATTCCCCCCACTGACACCTATGATGGGGCACTATTCCCCCCACTGACACCAATGATGGGGCACTATTCCCCCCACTGACACCTATGATGGGGCAATATTCCTCCTCCCACTGACACCAATGATGGGGCACTAATCCTCCCACTGACAGCAATGATGGGGCACTATTCCCCACTGATACCAATGATGGGGCACTATTCCTCCCACTGATACCAATGATGAGGCACTATTCCTCCCACTGACACCGATGATGGGGCACTATTCCTCCCACTGACACCAATGATGGGGCACTATTCCTCCCCCCCACTGACACCAATGATGGGGCACTATTTCCTCCTCCACTGACACCTATGATGGGGCACTATTCCTCCTCCCACTGACACCTATGATGGGGCTTGGAGAGGAGGAGCCGAGCGGCACCGCGAAGATCGAGCGAGTGAAGAGGAGGAGAGCGGCCGGAGAAGGAAGACATCTGACAGGTAAGTGTCGGTACCATGGGAGAGGGAGGGAGCCAGCGAGCTCAGGCTGGAGCAGGGGTCTGCAAGGTAAGTATCATTGGTGTCAGTGGGAATAGTGCCCATCATTGGTGTCACTAATACCAATGATGGGGCACTATTCCTACCCACTGACACCAACGATGGGACACTATTCCTCCCCCAAATGACACCAACGACGGGGCACTATTCCTCCCACTGACACCGATGATGGGGCACTATTCCTCCCACTGATACCGATGAAGGGGCACTATTCCTCCCACTGATACCGATGAAGGGGCACTATTCCTCCCACTGACACCGATGACGGGGCACTATTCCTCCCACTGATACCGATGACGGGGCACTATTCCTCACACTGATACCGATGACGAGGCACTATTCCTCCCACTGACACCGATGACGAGGCACTATTTCTCCCACTGACACCAATGACGGGGCACTATTCCTCCCACTGATACCAATGACGGGGCACTATTCCTCCCACTGATACCAATGACGGGGCACTATTCCTCCTCCCACTGATACCAATGACGGGGCACTATTCCTCCCACTGACACCAATGACGGGGCACTATTCCTCCCACTGATACCAATGATGGGGCACTATTCCTCCCACTGACACCTATGATGGGGCACTATTCCTCCCACTGACACCAATGATGGGGCACTATTCCTCCCACTGACACCAATGATGGGGCACTATTCCTCCCCCACTGACACCAATGATGGGGCACTATTCCTCCTCCCACTGACACCTATGATGGGGCACTATTCCTCCTCCCACTGACACCTATGATGGGGCACTATTCCTCCCACTGATACCGATGATGGGACACTATTCCTCCCACTGATACCGATGATGAGGCACTATTCCTCCCACTGACACCGATGATGGGGGCACTATTCCTCCCACTGACACCGATGATGGGGCACTATTCCTCCCACTGACACCGATGATGGAGCACTATTCCTCCCACTGACACCAATGACGGGGCACTATTCCTCCCACTGACACCAATGACGGGGCACGATTCCTCCCACTGACACCAATGAAGGGGGCACTATTCCTCCCACTGACACCAATGACGGGGCACTATTCCTCCCACTGATACCAATGATGGGGCACTATTCCTCCCAATGACACCAATGACGTGGCACTATTCCTCCTACTGCAAAATTACAGTTATGAAGTAGCAATGAAAATAATTTTATGGTTGGGGGTCACCACAACATGAGGAACTGTATTAAGGGGTCGCGGCGCTAGAAAGGTTGAGAACCACTGTTCTAGAGTATCTAAGATCATCATGTGATGTTAAAAAAATGTTTTGTGTTTTCAGATGTTGCTAAAATTGTTAAAAGTAGCATTATGGTAAAAAAGAAAAAACATATTCTGTAAGAAACAGTCTGTCAATAGCTTTAACACAGCAGTTTTTATTCTAAAATCATGGGTGCAGTCACACACAATATTTTGTAAACATCAAACGATGCAGTAATGAAAATTTTTAAATAAAGGTCATGGAACTTGATTAGGAGCATCACAGAGATTATATCCCAATCAGCATTTTACCTAGCTGTGCAACGTCCCTACTGTGAGGCAACCAGCAGGGGGCATGGCTGTCAATATGCAATAGCGCCGGCCCTCCCATGCATGCGCCTAGCAGCCCCATCACATAACCGCCACTGGGTCTTCATACACTACATTGCTGCTGCCATGGAGACAGAGATGCTGAACTGGCTCTGTAAATCACAGTGGCAGGTAAGGTGAGAGGGAGGATGGGGGGGCATAAAAAGGGTAATAGGAAAGTGTAGTAAGTGAAACCCTGAGAAGGCCATAAATAGCAAGAGCGGATATAATAGGAAAAGTGGGGGGAAAAAAAAACAAAAGGTAAAAGAAAAAATTAGGAAATCAGAAAGCAGCAAGGGGGGAGGGGGAAGAGAGAAAAAGGGCAGGAGGAAAGACAAAAAGTAGAGATAGACAGATGCTAAAAGTAAAGACAGGAGAAAAAAAAGGAGCAAGACAGAAGTGAAAGTATCCTAGAAAAAGAGAAGAGGGGTGGGGGACCTTTCAAAGTGAAAAAAAATAGCGTTACTCTGTACAAAGCCAATCATCTTAACATACTGAACATCCTGTCATCAAGAAAGCAAGTAAAGGTCAAATTTGTATTGAGGCCTCCCTGTATCACCATGTATAAGTGTATAAATCCAAATTGCTTCTCGGCACAGTAGAAAACAGTCATGATCACCACCTCTTATGGGCTGTTTGACATGCTCAATGACCATCGCCCTCAGCTCATGTACCTGATGTTTCTGTGTACCAAAATGAACTGCTATGGGCTTGCTCAGGTGCACCTGGTTGCCTTTGTGGCCTTAGGTAAGGCTATTCTAATATAGCTCCTGTGTCTTTAAAAGGGCCTACAGTATAGTACATATTCCAATGAACATGGACATTTTAGGATGTAAACACAGTACTCATTGTTGCAGTTCATATAATCTTGTATATGGTAATTGCCCTTGTGTGGGTGAACAGAAACTTCACCAGAGATCAAAGAGTTGCAATCATTACAGTTGTAACATTTGTAGCAACCAACTTTTTGCTACATCATCCTGTCATTATCAGAGCGCATATGCAGAACCCTCATGAGTTGAGACATAGCCAGACTGTTTAGAAGGTGTTTAGGGTGAGCACACTGATAGTGGTGTTATGGTATTTCTGTTAGTTGGTTATGTACAAACCGATATCCTGAGCAAGCCATTGTTGTTGGTGATCATAAGGTACAGTTGAAATTGTGAAATTTTAGTATGGATATTGAAAATATGGCTGATCATGCCAAAAAGCTGTTTTTATATTTAAGGATAGTGATCATATGAAGTCATTTATCATCACATAGTTGTTTGGCTTCTTTTTAAATCATAATGATAACAGAAATCACTCAAATGGCCCTGATCAAACGTTTACATACCCTGGAATTTTTAACCTTGGTACAGACACACAAGTGACAAACGCAGGTTAAAATGGCAATTAAAAGTTAATTTCCCACATGCCAGTACTGTTCAATCACTTATTAAGAAGTGGAAAATTCAGGGATCTTTGCATACTAAGCCAAGGTAGACCAAGAAAGATTGCAGCCACAACTGTGCAACCTGACCTTAGCTTAATATCAAGAGATCCCTGAATTTTCCACTTTTAAGTGATTGAACAGTACTGACTGGCATATTCAATGCTTTGGATACCTTTTTATATCCTTTTCCAGCTTTATAAAGTTCCATTACCTTGTTAAGCAAGTCTTTTGACAGTTCTTTTCTGCTTCCCATGGCTCAGTATCCAGCCTGCTCAGTGCATCTACGTGAGAGCTAACAAGCTTATTGACTATTTATACACTGACACTAACTGCAATTTTAAAGCAACAGATATGGGAAAATAGCCTATAATTGCCATTTTAACCTGTGTGTGTCACCTTGTGTGTCTGTACTGAAGCTAAGCATTCTAGGGTATGTAAACTTTTGATCATGGCCATTTGTGTGATTTCTGTTACCATTATGATTTAAATAGGAGCCAAACAACTATGTGATGATAATGGCTTCATATGGTCACTATCCTCAAATAAAAGACAGCTTTTTGGTATAATCAATTATTATTTGTAATATCTATGCCAACATTTCATGACTTCTGCCAATGTATACAAACTATTGAGCACAACTGTATGTGATCCTCTATACCGTGAAATATCCTGTTCAAGAAATCAACAAAATGTGCAAATAACGATTCATTGCCAGCCCATATTAAGAAAATATAATCAGTGAATCGCATCCAACATTTGATCAGAAAAAAAACTGTGGAAGGATAAGTATTGCATTCCTTGATGTACCCCAAAAAATTAGGCCTTGCTCTCACTCTTTGTAGATGTGTTGTAGGGCTCGGATCGAGAGAGAGAGAGCCCTGCAGGCCATCTGCACACACAGGGTTTGCTGTGCACACACATGACTGCTTCCAGGGAAATCTAAAGCTTTCCCTGTCTACACACATGCGTGGTAAATCACCTGTCCGTGCACAGATGTGTTGACAGGCTTTGCCGAGACCTATTTGCTATAATGGTGGTGCCTGAAGGGCAGAGCCAGCTAAGAGGGGAATCCACTTCTAGCCAACTTCTGTTTAGAGTTTGCTGCACATATGCTGGCATAGACATCTTAATAAGCATGAACAGCATTTGTGATTATGGCTTTTCTGTTGTGCTAGAGGGTTTTAACAAGCTCCTTAGGCAGTCAGAGGCACTTATTACAGTACATTGGGGGTCCAACTGTCATAAAATCTCCCAAGTAGGTTTTGATCCTTCTGTCTTGTATAGTGCAACAAATGCACCTCTGTCAGCACTGGGGGAATATCTTGGCAGGTCCTGGTGCTTACAGGTGCTGTACAGAGATGTACATGAAGTTACTAAACTTTCAAACCACTGCAGGATGAAATGAAAATCCAACTAGAAAAGAAGCAAAAATTGCCTCCAAGAGTATCCTCCAGTATTCTTGTAATAAAGGCAAACACTGGAAGCTCATTTCATCTTCAAACCGGATATTCAGCATCAGGACTAAAAGACAGAATCCCATCTAAGTTGAATGCAGTTTGAAGATTCATGTCAAGCCCTGTACAGATCATGAGCACTGCTCAAAGTCTGTTTGCTGAGGTAATATCACAGCCAAAGAAAAGAGGTGAGCTTTCAGTGTTTGCCTTTATTTCAACTGAATATGGAGGATACTCCTAAAAGTGCTTTTCCTTCTCTCTTCTAGTTTGATCTCATGCATGCCTGCCCATGGCCATCCATCTAACCATAAAAGTCTGAAGTGGAGTTCTATTGGTTTAAAGGCCCGTTTTTATTACCAATATTTCCCTTTATCATTTGAAAGGAGGATACTTTTTTAAAGCTAGAATTGGAAAATGTCCAACTAAAGTTATTAATTTCTAAACTTGACACATAATTCCCTAAGTATATGCAAAATCAATAGACTATAACCAACTGTAAAACTAGGACCAGAAAATAATTTTCAAGGGGACATTGTATAATAACTTAACATTAAACAAGTGTTAAAATGGCTGTATCAAAGGCTGCAAATATCTCTATTTACTACATTTGTTTTTAGTTGCAGTATTGGGAAACTATTAAATGTGTCTCAAGCATGTGTTTTACTGCATTACAGAATAATATAATTGCAGAGCTTCCAGTAAGAGATTGCAGTTCATTTATAAATAATCCTGTTGAGTATTGCATGCAAGATACTACCATGTTTCCCTGAAAATAAGACACTGTCTTATATGTATTTTTCCTCAAGAAGACACACTATGGCTTATTTTCAGGGGATGTCTTATTTTTATTAAGTATGGTAAGTATGGGGAGCAGCAGCTTTCCTGGTGTTTGTGGGGGGTGAGAGAGACCCACAGACTGTTGCTGGTTGGTGCTAGGGGAGAGAGACCCACAGTGCTGAGTAAAACAGCAGGCACAGCTTTACTTCTTCCCCCTGAGGACACACAATACGGTACCTAAAGCAGAGC